ATTTGTTGATAACATCTCACCCACTCTCTCATTTGCTCTCTTTTTACATTGCTTCACCACTCTCTTAACCTCTCTCTTTTTCTCCATATACTCTTCCCTCCTTACATCACTTCTACTTTGTAAAAACCTCTCATATGCTAATTTTTTCTCCCTTGCTACTCTCTTTACATCATCATTCCACCAATCGCTCCTCTTCCCTCCCACACCCACTTTCCTGTAACCACAAACTTCTGCTGAACACTCTAACACTACATTTTTAAACCTACCCCATACCTCTTCGAACCCATTGCCTATGCTATCATTAGACCATCTATCCTCCAATAGCTGTTTATATCTTACCCTAACTGCCTCCTCTTTTAGTTTATAAACCTTCACCTCTCTCTTCCTTGATGCTTCTATTCTCCTTGTATCCCATCTACCTTTTACTCTCAGTGTAGCTACAACTAAAAAGTGATCTGATATATCTGTGGCCCCTCTATAAACATGTACATCCTGAAATCTACTCAACAGTCTTTTATCTACCAATACATAATCCAACAAACTACTGTCATTTCGCCCTACATCTTATCTTGTATACTTATTTATCCTCTTTTTCTGAAAATATGTATTACCTATAACTAAACCCCTTTCTATACAAAGTTCAATCAAAGGGCTCCCATTATCATTTACACCTGGCACCCCAAACTTACCTACCACACCCTCTCTAAAAGTTTCTCCTACTTTAGCATTCAGGTCCCCTACCACAATTACTCTCTCACTTGGTTCAAAGGTTCCTATACATTCACTTAACATCTCCCAAAATCTCTCTCTCTCCTCTACATTCCTCTCTTCTCCAGGTGCATACACGCTTATTATGACCCACTTTTCGCATCCAACCTTTACTTTAACCCACATAATTCTTGAATTTACACATTCATATTCTCTTTTCTCCTTCCATAACTGATCCTTCAACATTACTGCTACCCTTTCCTTAGCTCTAACTCTCTCAGATACTCCAGATTTAATTCTATTTATTTCCCCCCACCGAAACTCCCGTACCCCCTTCAGCTTCGTTTCGCTTAGGGCCAGGACATCCAACTTTTTTTCATTCATAACATCAGCAATCATCTGTTTCTTGTCATCCGCACTACATCCACGCACATTCAAGCATCCCAGTTTTATAAAGTTTTTCTTCTTCTCTTTTTTAGTAAATGTTTACAGGAGAAGGGGTTACTAGCCCATCGCTCCCGGCATTTTAGTCGCCTCATACGACACTTATGGCTTACGGAGGAAAGATTCTTTTCCACTTCCCCATGGACAATAGAAGAAATAAAGAAGAACAAGAGCTATTTAGAAAAAGGAGAAAAACCTAGATGTATGTATATATATATATATATATATATATATATATATATATATATATATATATAATATATATATATATATATATATATTATATATGCATGTGCGTGTCTGTGAAGTGTGACCAATACTTAAGTCATACCCCAAAATGAGTTCCTAATCATCCTGACTAACTCTAATAAAGGAGATTTTAGAATCTAGGAAAAAGTTAAATTAACAACTTAAGAATTACTGGACTTGGAATAAACATCTGACAGTAATATACAATATAAACAATGCCCAATTAAAGGTGCCATTTAAAATGTACTAATAAATAAAACACTGAAAAAAATATACATACATTACAGTCAAAAATATATTTTTAATTTGCACCAAGGAACAATATTTTGAAAAGAGACAAGCATTGTATTATTCTGCATAGCATATTATTATTATTATTATTATTAAAGATTCGCCGGTATTCTCCCGGCCCGGGCCTTTTCCAAGTGGTGGCCCGGCCTTGGCTCCCTCTTTAGGGAGTGTCTGAGACCTAAGTCTCCCATGGGAGGAGGCATAAGTACCTCCTCATCTTTGGGACCAACTGTCCCCAGGCCTAGCCACAAGCTAGGCCTCTCTGGTCTGCCATCCCCGCCCCAAGGGGGCAAATGGGAATGACAGTCTTATGAGCTAAAGGCTCGGGCTCAGGCACCTACCCTACCCTAGAAGGGTTAGGCATGGTGTCGATGTGCATAGCATAAAACCTTTATTTAGTATAAGTGAAGGTTAATTCTGAGAATAAATTCCTTGCAAATGTTATAGAAGGAAATCTTTATAATCCACAAAAATATTTATACTGTATTAATTATATATTATATATATATTATATATATATATATATATATATATATATATATATATATATATATATATATTATAATAATATAATATATATATATAATATATATATAATATATTATATATATATATATATATATATAATTAGATGCTGGAGTATGTCAGTACCTGGGTCACCCACCCTATTATACAAAAATAGCAGCCATCGTCTCTCCATTGGAAGTAATAAGAGTGGACTTGACTGCGCCAGCAATTTGACACCAAAAAGGTTTTATCTGCATATATATTAGTTCATATATTCAGGCTAATTGCCCCGTGTTTATTTACCCCCAGTATGTATTTATATTTTCATGTTTTCACCCAGTTTTAAGTTGCTTTAGTGATGTAACAAGTGAACATGGTTCCCTGTATTAACTAGCTAGTGCCACTATTTAACTACGTGGTGTTCAATACCGGTGTTTACTGTTCTTGCTAGTGACAGACCTGGCAGTGTAGCCAGAAATAATTACCGTAGTATGACAGTAATGATAATACTGAGTTGAAGAGAGTCCGTAGCTGGGGTATCACTCTTACATCATTATTTGCTGATGATGTAAAGCAGATGAGAAGAATAAACACGGAAGAGGATAAAGACAGACTACAAGAAGACTGGGACAAGCTGCAAGGGTGGTCACACAACTGGTTACTGAAGTTTGGCCCCCAAAAGGTGCCAGGTCATTAAAACTGGAAAGGGGGAGAGAAAACTAGAGACGGAACGCAGCTTGAGAGGCGAGAAACTAAATACTCCTCATATGCGAGGTTAGCTAATTTCAGAGCTGACTTCAAAAGCCTTAAAGACATATGTCAGGCCTGTCGTCTATTACACAGCACAAGCGTGGAAACATGGTCAAGCATGAACGAAAACTCGAGAAAATCCAGAAATTACACACAGGAGCTGTGACTCGACCCCTGCAGCCACAAAGAGGTGAGTGTACAAACATACACATTGAGCCCAGCGTCACGTTGAACAAGAAATCAATGGCGTCTCATAGGCAATGAGTGAGCCTCGATGTTTGTGTGTTTGTTTAAGAGTAAGAACTTGGCAGCAAGAAGGCTCCCAAGTCACAAACACCGCAACATTAAAGCAGGTCTAGCTGCGTATTTATCCTCAATGCTGTATACCAACACCTGGGTGTCAACTGCTATTGTTCTTAGGGTTAATACACTGGGAAGCGATAAACGCTGAATGGCGGCGTCTAGGTGCTTTCGAAGTATTTTGATCAGAGGAATCACAGCTACTCTCCCTTTCCATGTATCAAACATAAACATGTCCTATTCACCCCCTTTTCTGAAAGTCGTAGCACCAGAGATGAGACTGAAGTGTACAAATGGAAAACAGGAATAAATAGAGGGGGTATAAATAGTGTGTCGAAAATATACAACCAAGACAGAATCGCAGCAATGGATTCAAGATGGAGAAAGTTAGGTTTAGAAAGGCTATTAGGAAGCATTGTTTGGCAATAGCATTGTAAACGGGTGGAACAAACTCCCAGGCAGCGTCACTGGTACGAGAACTTAAGGTAACTTTAATTATAGGTTGGATGAGTAAATGAGTAGTTATGGGTGGTGTGAGATAGACCTACCTAGCATGGGCCAGTAGGCCTATGTTCTTGTGTGCTCCATCGTGATTTACTGCTTCGTCCAACATCAGTCTCCCTAAATCAGTTTTCTTCCCCTCCCCCCCATTTTTCATGTTTGCATTTTGGTTCAGTACTTTGTCTATGTACCTACAGATGTAGTTTTTATCACCAGTGTTTCCTTTAAATCAATTTTAGTTGGCTTGCTAGATTAAAAGCCTATCGACTGCATATAGGTCTTTGTGCACAATTAACAACGGTTACTACCCATTTTAGAGATTAAAGTAACTCCCAGTGTATATATACTGAGATGCAACGCTGTCTCACTAAATATACACTTATATACTGAGATATACACACCTCCCGAGTGTTTCCTGCGACTTCGTCGCATTCAACTGACCAACATACTGATCTGAAAAAAAAAAAATTCTCACTGAGGTGACTATGCAATTAATTGAAACACCACCACCTCTATACCCGTTACTGCACCTCTGTACCCGTTACCGCACCTCTACACTCACTACCGCACCTCTACACCCACTACCGCACCTCTACACCCACTACCGCACCTCTACACCCAACACCGCACCTCCACACCCACTACCGCACCTCCACACCCACTACCGCACCTCCACACCCACTACCGCACCTCCACACCCACTACCGCACCTCCACACCCACTACCGCACCTCTACACCCACTACCGCACCTCCACACCCACTACCGCACCTCTACACCCACTACCGCACCTCTACACCCTCTTTCCCTCTGAAAGTCACTCCACAATCTCCCCCTTAAGCGAAAGCGAGGTGTGGGTGACTTCCGCCTTGGCATCAATAAGGCGGATGTAATTTACATCCGCAATGAACCTAGTGTGAATATTCACATTAATAACCATATGTTAATCTTTTGTAGCGTTCCCTCTACCCTTACATAACATATCACTGAACACTGTGTCTGGCTTAACATGCTAACAGCAGTTTATCAAGTTGTGTGTATGTATTTCCTTCTTTCTCCTTGTGTATGTGTGTAAGATTGTATTGTTTATAGGAATAATTGGAAAGTGCGTCTTAGGCATACATTTCACAAATACAAGGAATCCTCGTATATTTAGAGACATTTAGTAACTAGGCAGTGTATCGGCTGTTCCACAGCTTACAGCGGTGGCCAGAATGAATGTCGTCACAGGTTGGAGTGTGGAGGTAGGGGATAGTCTCAGGAAGACGAGGGTCGACCCTCCACTCGTCACTGCCTCCCAACACAACTCTCACAGCCATCAACAAACACTGCCTCTAATTATATATCGCAGGGCCAGTTCAGGATTCTCGAGGCTTAGTGACTGAAAATTTCCTCGTGACTGAAAATGCGTTTGAGTGACCCAGTTGATCTACGAGGATATTGAGAGGAGGAAATGGCGTCGATGTTGCCTCGAGACTTGTAAGTATCGCCCAAGCTCATGACAACTGCGACTATTGCTTTTTTCTTGTTTCAGATCAGTACAATTTATCTTAGTTTATTTCTTAAAGCTTGTATAGATTGTGTTTCTATTGTATGTTAACCCCTCAGGGAAGGTTCCTTGATGTTTAGTGAGGGGCTCTTGATTTAGGGAATTGGGTCTGTGCTCCAGTTCCCCGAATTAAGCCTGAATGCCTTCCACATCCCCCCCAGGCGCTGTATAATCCTAAGGGTTTAGCGTTTTCCCCTTGATTATAATAATAATAATATTGTATGTTATTGACTCCAACGTACATTCTTTTAATAACAGACGTGAGAAATGTCACTTTTTTTGGGAGGGGGGGGGTATCCTAGGTTCTCTACAAATGTGCTGCTTATGTATGATAATCTATGTAACTGTATTTGTGGATACCTGAATAAACTTGCTTCTAGTAAGCAGGTTGAGTAAAGGCCATCAGCTGGTTGCTGCCGTCAGAGAGGTGGAGGTGGCTCTGCCTCCTGGGAGGTAGGCTTCCACCTGCCAAGAGATGTACCGATTCTCTTCTTTACGACGACCCATCAAGTGAGGTTCCTTGATGCAGGTGAGGGTTCTTGTTCCAAGGAAATGGACATGCGCTCCTCTTCCTAGGGTAGAACCAGTGTTCTCCCGTGAGTGGTGTAATAATTCTTTACGACGAAATTATTTTAGTTTAACATCTCTTTCCGAAATGAAGCTGTAACTTGCCATTGTTTGTTCAGTTCTGTGACTATTAGCTTACAGTATGTACAGTTCAGGACACTTATTAAGGGAAAAGTTTTGGTGATACAGATGTGGAAGAAGACCCTTGTGTACAGCTTATAGCAGTTATTAAAGGAAACGTTCCGCCACGAAAGGCTTCAAAATTCAAATTCAAAAATTTATTTCTTTGCTAAGGTGACAATTTAATCATACATTGTAACCTTAGCAAAGAAATATTTTTTTTAATTTAAATTTTGAGGCCTTTCGTGGGGGAACGTTTCCTTTAATAACTGCCCTAAACTGTCCACAAGGGTCTTCTTCCACATCTTTATATCGCCAAATCACTTCCTTCTCACGAAGGCGATTAAAATGTCTTGATAGATTTTTCTTGTATATTTGTAGTTTAACTTTTGAGTGATTGGATGAACTGTGATTTGTAAATTAAACACATTATGGCCTGTTACATAAAATAATTTTTAATTTGAATGTTTATAATTACTCGTCTGGGGTGGAAGGAGACGTGAGTGGTGGGGGTGTTATAGGTACTAAACCGGTAGGGGTCATATAGCGTCAAGGAAGCAGTCAGGTTCTACCCGAGAAAGCATTCAGTATAAATTCCTTGGATCAAGAACCCCCTCGCCGGCATTAAGGAGTTTCATAGCCCTCACCTAGCTAACAACTTCCGGGGCTTGAGGTGGAGAGTTAACCGCTGTACTACTAGGCACTAGCAGTGTCTTAGGATTGTTGCTTCTGCACATCTGTTCTGATGCATTCTTAACTTGTTTAAATGAATTAAGTCTGTACAAAGACTGCAGGGGTGTGATAGTTCTTAGTTCTTTCTGAGAGAAGAATCTTGAACAAGGATATGCGCTCTGACTATTTAGGTTTGGTTATTACCCTCTGCACAACTGATCAACTTGGACATGTAACAGTTTCCAGAAAATTATGACTTTTTTCATACTTATTTTCTGCAGTTTTGACAATGTTTTGAGCAGTTCGTTGACCACCTTTGTTTCTCCTTTTGTCTTTGTTCCCTTCCTCAGCTTTGTGCACTGAGAAGCTTTGTGCTGGCTGGCTGGGAGGACCTGGGCAGCTGCTGTACACTCCCTGTACACATGAACGAACATGCGTCTTTCCCACAAATTTCCTCAATATTCTGCTAAGTCTTTAAAACTGGAGGTAATCCAATTTGATCCTAGGAAGAAGAGAGCATCTCCAATTCCTTGGATCAATAGCCCTTCAGCGGCATCAAGGGGCACCCCTCTTGAAGGAGGATGGGAGGAGTGTACACGTGGGGTTCACTTGGCTGTGCCAGAGGCGGAGAGGGGGGATTCCCCTGGGGGGATGTGTTCCCCTGCAGCAGGTGAGTCCGGGCGAGGGGTAATTTTAGTGTGGCAGGTGAGGGCCGAGGGGACCAACAGGCTCCGGGTGCCAGGACTTAGCCCTTTAGAAAGGGAAAAGGGAGGGAGGAGGAAAGGCAGGGGGAGGTGGCTAGGAAGAAAGGTAATAGTTTGTGTACAGGTTGAGATGGCCGTTGTTAATACAGTAGTTAGAACAGATTTAACTGCTTTGTCGCAGTAAGCTTTATAAAGAGCTGTGACTACCCCGGCAGCCACATACAGACGAGAGAGACATTAACAAAAAAAAAAATTGTCCAGAGACATTATTCCCCCGCGGCGCGGTCCCTTACCATTCTGGTCGACGGCCTGATTACCTAGTATAGGTCAATAACAGTTGGCAGTAAAATCTCAGGTTTCCTCTGGAAGACAGGCTGTTGATAATTTCCCTTGTAGATGAAGTGTTGAAAAGCCTTGTACCCTGGAAGGAACACTGCTGAAAATATCACTCAATGGCTGGTCATTCAGTAACTTCACAGTGAGCTGGTTAAGCACGTTGATGGTGCTCTCATTTCAAACATTATATTAACTCGACAGTTTCAAATACACATTCGTGTAACCTTCAGTTAAGGATAGAGACGGGGGGGGTAATTAAGGACGAGAGATGGGGAGAGATTAGATTTTTGCCACCGAAGTGGCTAGTTTGTGAAGAAGAGCAGGAGTAAACTGGAGAGAGAGAGACGCTCCCTCTACAGAAGACGACGAAGAGTCACCGAGCTCCTCAGGAGTGCTAGAATATCTGATACACGAAAGGAGGCGCTGACCAGGGAAGTGGAAACTATCGAACTTAAGTTAAATGACTCTTACAGGAACCAGGAGAGGCAGGAGGAGCTTAAAGCTATTAGTGAAATTGAAAGAAATTCAAAGTATTTCTTTTCATATGCCAAAAACAAGACAAATACCACATCTAGTATCGGGCCTTTACTCAGACAGGATGGGACTTACGCAGATGACAACAAGGAAATGAGTGAAATATTGAAATCCCAGTACGACTCTGTGTTTAGTGAACCACTAATCGGTCTGAGGATCGACGACCCAAATGATTTCTTCATGAATGAGCCTCAAAACTCCATAAATGCATGCCAGATTTCCGACATTACCCTAACTCCGATAGATTTCGAAAAAGCCATTGACAACATGCCTATGCACTCAGCCCCGGGCCCAGACTCGTGGAACTCTGTTTTCATTAAGAACTGCAAGAAACCCCTCTCGCATGCCCTAAGTACACTATGGAGGAGGAGCTTGGACATGGGTGAAATTCCACAGTCACTTAAAACAACGGATATAGCCCCACTCCATAAAGGTGGCAGCAAAGCATTAGCTAAGAACTATAGACCAATAGCTCTGACGTCCCACATCATAAAAATCTTTGAAAGAGTACTAAGAAGCAGGATTGCAAATCACCTGGATTCCCAAAATCTGCACAATCCAGGGCAACATGGGTTCAGGGCAGGTCGCTCCTGCCTCTCACAACTACTGGATCACTATGACATGGCCTTGGATGCACTGGAAGAAAATCAGAATGCAGATATAATATACACAGACTTTACAAAAGCATTTGACAAATGCGATCATGGCGTAATAGCCCATAAAATACGTGCTAAAGGAATAACTGGGAAAGTAGAGAGATGGATCTTCAACTTCCTAACAAATCGAACACAAAGAGTAGTGGTCAACAGAGTTAAATCGGAGGCTGCCATAGTGAAGAGCTCTGTTCCACAAGGCACAGTACTCTCCCCCATCTTATTCCTTATCCTCATATCAGACATAGACAGAGATATACACCACAGCACCGTATCATCCTTTGCGGATGATACTAGGAACTGCATGAGGCTGTCATCTGCTGAGGACGCGGTTAACCTCCAAGAAGATATAAACAAAGTTTTCCAGTGGGCAACGGTAAACAATATGATGTTCAATGAGGACAAATTCCAACTACTCCGTTATGGAAAACTGGAGGAGATAATAACTAGAACAGAGTATACTACTGACTCCGGCCATACAATAGAGCGGAAAAATAATGTAAGGGACCTGGGAGTAGTAATGTCTGAGGATCTCACTTTCAAGGATCACAACAGTGCCACGATCGCAACGTGCAAAGAAAATGATAGGATGGATAATGAGAACTTTCAAAACGAGAGATGCCAAGCCAATGATGATCCTTTTCAAATCACTTGTTCTCTCTAGGCTGGAATACTGTTGTACATTAACATCTCCATTCAAAGCAGGTGAAATCGCAGATCTAGAGAGTGTACAGAGATCCTTTACTGCATGTATAAGTTCTGTCAAGCACCTTAACTACTGGGAACGCTTGGAAGCACTCGACTTGTACTCGTTGGAACGCAGGAGGGAGAGATATATCATAATCTACACTTGGAAAATCTTGGAAGGAATGGTCCCAAATCTGCACACAGAAATCACTCCCTACGAAAGTAAAAGACTGGGCAGGCGATGCAAAATGCCCCCAATAAAAAGTAGGGGCGCCATTGGTACACTAAGGGAAAACACCATAAGTGTCCGGGGCCCAAAACTGTTCAACAGCCTCCCATCAAGTATTAGGGGAATTGCCAATAAGCCCCTGACTGACTTCAAGAGAGAGCTGGACAGATACCTAAAGTCAGTGCCGGATCAGCCGGGCTGTAGCTCGTACGTTGGACTGCGTGCGGCCAGCAGTAACAGCCTAGTTGATCAGGCCCTGATCCATCGGGAGGCCTGGTCATGGACCGGGCCGCGGGGGCGTTGATCCCCGGAATAACCTCCAGGTAACCACATGTCCATCCTGTGGACGGTAGCGCGAGAGCATATGGATACAAAAGGCCTAGGAACTAGGCCCCAAAGGGTTAATAGGAATAAATACGGATTGATAT